ACTCTCGTCAGATTATTGGCCTTTGAATTGAACAATTCTTGTCAGTAACTTTCGTAAAACGTCTTATTATATTTATTTTGAAAATCATTAATTTCATTCATAATTCTTGTAAAGATTATTGGGACAAATGATAATATTTCTTTTTTATTATTATCTTTATAAAGAGATAAGGAAATCACTGTAAGTTTTTACAGTTGTTATGTTAATGTCACATGACATTATAATTGCCCATGTGCTTCTATAATTATTTCTTTCACTCTCTAAATTTTTTTATAAAAAAAGATCTCTTCTTTTTTATCTCTATAAATCTGATGTGATGTAATATGTATATTTGTATTCTTGCACACGAAGCATAATACAGTGTAGCTTAGAAGAATGGATTTACGCTATGTGTCAAGGTAGCGAATGATGATCCGTCGCGAGATCAACTGGGTGAGATAGTGCTGCGCAACGGATCGATCAGAGTCCGTGGTACAGTCGAATCTCCGTAAAGTTAATATCCATTTTTATTTTATCCTCCATAAAAGTCATATCTTAAACTTCCATATAATAATCGAGCACATATGCTAGCGCATGCGCATTTGTTTACTTTTATAGAGGTCGATCGGTGCCGACAAGTTACTTCTACAGAGGTTCGACTGTACCACATAGTACATATATATAGGGTACATATATAAATTAAAAATTTTAACATTCTTCTTCAAACAGTTTAGACTAAAAGTGTACAAAAATGTATGCTGTATTAGTATGAAACAATAAAGGAAAATCATTTGGATTTACATTTTTAAAGATGTATATTTGGCAATTGTGACCGATTCAGATTTCTGAGTCTGAGGTATTTGATTTGTACATATTGAAACAATATTTAAAGCGATAAAGCCGTTGATAATATTGTACAAGTAATTGGTTATTTTTTTTTTTTTAATATAATATACAGCGACACTTTTTTTGTGAATTGTTTCTTTTGCAGATGTGAAGGATGATTTTTAATTGTTCCATACAGTATCGGAGTAAAGGTACACGTTATCTGTGCAAACATCTTAATCTTTAAAAAATTTCAATTTATATTTAAATCTCTAATTTCAATAAATAAATAACTTTTCTAAATTCTTTAAATTTTTTTAATAATTTGGATAATTCCCTGTTAGTGTAATAGTTAGTATAATATAATCAGAAAATGTTTAGATTTACAATACACAAATAAATCGATTCATTTTTAATTAGTTCAGCTAATGTATAAAAGTTTAAAGAATCTCTAAATATTCAAAAGAATATTTCGTTGAAAAAAAAATTGATTCAGTTAAAAAATAACTGATGGTTTTACGACATGATAATCATCTATATAATTTTAATTTAAGACGTAGAGATGTATTTTACCTTCAAGATTTTTTTTTCTGGCGATGATGGACCATATTATTCTGATACTGTGGTATCAAAGATATGGGGAAAAAAGTGCAGTGAGTCAGTGATACAGGACCGAAGGGGTGTTCGAAAAGCAACGTAGACATCGGATTCTGGCGGGGATCGCCCAGCCTTCCGAGTCGACCAAGCGAGCGAATGGTTTGTCGAGCTGACAGAATCGGGCGATTAATCGAAACGAAAGTCAGACTGCCGCGGACTGCCGCTGCGACGCGACGCGAGGCGACGGACGCGACGCGGCGACGCCGATGTTGAGCGTAGCGCGAAGCGTCCATTTTCCGCGAGGAGGTAGGCGTCATCGTTGCCCTCGCTCTCGTTAGTGCTATCGTTGTTTTGAGTGGAATTAAGTGCAAAATGTGAATGAGACACGCTGTGTTCGAGCGTGTCGCGAATCTGTGCGATCGATCCGATACTGTATAATTGCGATTGCGTTAATTAATTACACAGTTATTGATCTACGTTGGATACTTCTAATTCTAGTGTGACTTCAAATTATCTCTGAATAGATTTAATCAGGATATACAGTGGGAGATAGCACACTAAATGAAATTGTTTGTACATTAAATTCTCTTTCATTTTCCAAATCCTTTTCCTTCGAGGATTTTAATTTATTTAGACATAAATTAGTTGCATCCGCGCGAGACAGATATGCATTTGAAGAAACACAATGCGCTGTGACACTGCAGCCACGCGTTCAAGTGTATTCCAATATTTCCAATTTTGAGCGTCCAGCTTAATTATAAAATATTGCTTTTCCCGCTAGCGTGTTTTGAAAAAGATTCTTTGTTTTCAATCAAAATCCTTTGTTATTTCTATCAAAAAAAGATGTGGCTTTATTGTTCGAACCTTGCGTTTGGATGATTTCGACAGGCTACGTTCCTCAAATTGACACTCTCTCGTGCGAATCTTTCCACGATCAAGTCGTTCAATTACCTTCTAAAACAATAATAATTAGGTAATGTAAAGCCAGATAGAAAGATTCGAAGGCGCATCTAATTTTGTTCGTCAAAGTCGTTTTGCTCAGTTTAATCAATATCATATCCAGTATCATATTTGGAGTTATTTATGATGAAATGTACGTGTATACTATATGAGAAGAGAATATATATGTGCATATATACCAATCCAACTTTCCTGACGATTACCAACGAAATTGTTTAATAAACGTAGAAACTATTTTTGTGCACAAATCTTTAGACTCTTTCTTAAGATTGATCAATATTGTCGTGTAATCGGAGATTAAATCAATAAATCTCCTTTCGAAAACTTTAATTTATTAAAATGCTGTAAAGATACTTTTTAATTTTCATGTAATAAAAATAAATAAATATCAGTACAATACTTGCAATTTTGAAAAGCTGGGTATTTCATTAATTAAAATTTAAGATAGATCCTCTGATCGATTAATTTTTTCTACTTTTTCACTTTTTCGGTAAACGACGTATGACGCAACAATTTTTTGATATTTATATTATAAAATTTATTATAATCAGTTTTTTTAATTTTATTTAATTTAAAATTTTTCTTATATATTCTTATATTTTTGGCAAAAAATTATTCGTTCATGCACTAGTATTTTTATGCATAAATAACTCTGAGTCGATACGTCGGTTTTCGGAGCATTGACATGACAGTTTTTGTGACTAACAATAAGAACGAGATATTTTCATCGATTTATACATATAACAAATTTAGCAATAAGATTCTTTATATTACCGTTGAATGAAACATAAAATTATATATAATATATATAAACGTAAAATTGATACCATCAAGCTAATGGATCCAATGTGACAGAAAGAAGATGAAACGAACGTTGAAATCTGACTACACGATGGCAGCGACAGAAATCGAACGCGCATACTTTTTACAGACTGTAAACGAAAGTGTAAAGCGAAAGTGTAACGGCATTTAGAGTAAGACATTCGCTAGGTTTCGCAGCATCGCTTTTAAGATCCGTTTATCAAACAGTGCAGAACGTATTTATATTATTCGACATAAGGAAGAATATTCTTCTTGAACAGCACTAAAATTAAAACATTGCATACACTAGTGTTAGAAGCGATAGAGATAAAAATTGAAAGAATTAATTGTTTTCAAGTATCTTTTTTAGAATGAAATAGCTTTCATTTAACAATAATTATTTTTAAATGATTCTTTTAGTTGGAGATAATGAATAGCTTTTTTCTCTATTTCTTTTGTTTTATATTTTACAAGTCGTTTATCAATTTCGTTTTAATCTTTTTAAACATCTTTTTTACATCTACACGAACGACGTGTAAAGACTTTTTTACAGTTTTGCTGGAAAGAGAGAGAGAGAGAGAGAGAGAGAGAGAGAGAGAGAGAGAGAGAGAGAGTTACTATAAAGAATTTTCATTTTTTGATTCTTTTCTCATCATTTTGGCATCTTGTTCACTTTTGGCACTTCTGATTGAATTGTCATTGTCTTCTTCATGGCTGACCCGTCTCATTGATCCCTGATCATTGAGATTGAATTTGAATCTCTTGTTAGCGACGATTAAGGATTCCTTCTTCTTCTTCTTCTTCTTCTTCTTCTTCTTCTTCTTCTTATCAATAATATTTTTCTGTTCATGCAATGAACTCATTCTGTTCCTCAAGTGAGGGAACATTACAGCGGTCAAGTGATAAGACAATGTTAAGGCTGCTAGCCAACAATTCTCGTTGTTACGCCTAGTCATCGTTACCTGTTATCGCTAACTGGCTAAAAATATTTATTAAAAGTAATGCGTCAAAAGTATCGCGGTATAATATATGGCACATATACACATATATATATATATAT